AAATAAACCAATCCAAAATGAATGGAGTTTTCATTGCGTGGAGACTATCCCTTTTCTGCCACTGTGCCAATTCTGAGACACGTAGCCGCACCTGCACAAGGTCTCCAGTCTCGATTGGACTTGTACTGACACGAGCCTCATCTCGATTTGGTTATTCCTCTCTTTCTTTTTTAGCCGCTGCTTGCTGGAAATCAGTTCCGTCAGTTCCGTCAGTTCCTCACTTGCAAGTCAATATCGTATCGCAATCCTAGATTGGCTATGGTACCCCGTAAGGAGACCATAGGTCTGTGGGGACTGCCCTAGAGAAATATGAATAAAGACAATACATACAATACAATCATCTTTCAGTTTAAAGATGAGAGTAAAGTGAGCGCACTCATTTCCAAGAGAACAATGGAACAATAATTTAAGATTTAGAAAGAAAAAGGACATATGGAAACGAGTTAGGAGTAACTCTCCACCACTGTAACTAGATACTATATACAGTCAGAAAGTGCAACAACTAGGCACAAAACTGACAGAGTACTGAGACATTCGACGTCCTGACACCTAGCTTCAACACACTTCCGTAGCGCTAACCGACAGCCTTCCAACTTGGAAGGTTCAAGGTTATAGAAAGACCAAAGAGGGGAAGGCAAGCGCAACGAAAACGGGCACAAGCTACAGTCCCAACGGAACAAAGAATGTCGATTGTTACTGGACGATGACGAGACCAGTAGGCGATTTGACAAAGCGGTCTAACTACAATTCGAAGCAGCAAAGCAGCACACCACCCAACTTGGGTGGGTCAAAATATCAAAGATAAGTTAAGAAGAGGGAAGCTTTGCGAGAACGTATTGTACAAGCCGAAATCTTAACTCCTACAGTACTCCTCATGCATGACATTGTGATGGACTAGTTGACTACAAAACAAGTTGTTCCACACGACGTACGTTTTGCCGTGTGGTTCGTGACGGCTCATCAGGTGTGCAATTTGCAACTCGGGTATTGAGCCAATAATAAAAGTAAAAAGGAAAAGGACGTATGGAAACGAGTTAGGAGTAACTCTCCACCACTGTAACTAGATACTATATACAGTCAGAAAATGCAAGAACTTGGCACAAAACTGACAGAGTACTGAGACATTCGACGTCCTGACACCTAGCTTCAACACACTTCCGTAGCGCTAACCGACAGCCTTCCAACTTGGAAGGTTCAAGGTTATGGACAGACCAAAGAGGGGAAGGCAAGCGCAACGAAAACGGCCACAAGCTACACTCTGTCAGTTTTGTGCCTAGTTGTTGCACTTTCTGACTGTATATAGTATCTAGTTACAGTGGTGGAGAGTTACTCCTAACTCGTTTCCATATGTCCTTTTCCTTTCTACTTTTATTATCGGCTCAATACCCGAGTTTCAAATTTAAGATTTGAATGTCGTTTTCATAATATGATTATCACCAGAACTCACCTACCCAACAACCACATACCGCTACCTACTTACATATTTGTGCATGTACTTTTCTCATCTGCACTTCTCCCAATTGCACATGATATCACACTGTTCCCTACTCTCTCTTTTCTAATCGAAGGATAAAAATTATTTGTAATTTGTGCAGTAAGACGTCTCTGCGAAGCAGCTACATCATCTGGATGCCACGTCAATAAAAACACTGGTCGGAAGATCCACTTTTCTAAAGTACTGTATGTGGGACTCCGTTTATTGAGGTGCGTTGAAATTTATTCTCTTTATCTTATTTCTTTTCTATACTGTAATTTCCCCATATGAGTTCCTATCAGTTGCTGTGAACACCTTGAGTGGAGAGCGCTTGCTCGAGCGTTGAACCCGGGTTCTTAATCCACCATTCCCAGTTCGCAAGGCTGGGCGGGGTTGTGAATAAGCTTTCATTTCATCTTTTCTTATTATTTCTGCTTTTCATCTCATTACAAATATTCTGCCCTTTTTTCTCCATCTGCGCATAAAATCTAGACTGACAATCTGCTTGTTAAATCCTGCACCTGCTTTCAGGTGTAAAAACCCTGTTGTAGAGGTCTCTGTCCTCATTTGTTAGACTTACCTGTCTTTATAAATGTAACTTACTCTCTCTCTCCCTCTCTTTCTCTATTTATCTATCTATCTCTCTCTCTTCCGCTCTCTCTCTTTCTCTTTCTCTCTCTCTCTCTCTCTCTCTCTCTCTTTCTCTTTCTCTCTCTCGCTATCTCTCTCTCTCTCTCTTTCTCTCACTCTCTCTCTCCTTTTCTGGTTCCCCTTTCCCTCACACAATAATATTAATGTATTCGTATCCAGCGACTCAGTTTATACTTGATGTCACGTTAACCCTGCTTATTACACATGTTCAACTTCAGGAAATTATATCATAATATTGCATGTGCATGACTCTTGCTCTATGATACCCCTAGATCTTCCCACCTTGCTCCCCCTCATGTTCAGGCTGCCCTTTTGGAGCCATTATGCAGTTGCCTGATGATCGTACTAATAAGTGAAACTCAGAGTTGTGACAAA